AATTTACCTATGTATTGTTTAACACTAAAACCACATGCTTACGTCACTAATACAGTGCTCGGACGTCTCTAAGCTTACAATAACATTATATACCTGTCAGCATTCCAACAGTTGAATGCTGCCTATTGTTTATACCCTGCAGCTAAAAATAGATTATAGTACTCCTTACTTTCTAACATGTTCGCGGATTCCTCATTGCCTCAGCTCCGAACCGCCTTGACAATATAAAAATATATATACTATTATGTTATTATGTTATTAAAAATATACGTTAAGGGTAGTTACCATAACCTCCGCTCTGCAATAATTAAATAACACCGCGAGGGTCGGCAGCATTGGTTATGGTAACGCCGTTGACTAAATACATATAATATAACTTACATTTCTAGGGACACAACTTATAAGTAGACATTTTAGTAACACTTGTTTTCACAAGATGACCGCAGTGAAATGTACAAAAATTCCTATTAATCAGTCATATACTTCCAATAATTTGTCATGTGAGCAAAAATCGCACCGGTTGCTTAATCACTCGACCACAGCGTGTGGTTTTAACCATAGGCGGTAGCGATTCTTGTTCACTTGCTTTTGTATCTGATTCACGCTGATTATTGTTAGTACCGCTACTTTCTGGTAATTTTTCTTCGTTAATAATGTATGCTGGTTTTAATCTGTCTATGGAAACGGTTGATTGACGATCGCCTATTTGTATGTAAAATGTTTTCTTATCCCTACTTATTATTTTATAAGGGCCGCTGTATGCTGGGGTTAACGGGCTTTTTACCATATCGTTTCTTATAAAAACATGAGAACACGTATTTAAATCTTTATGGACAAATATTTTCCGCGAATCGCTGTTATCTTTCGACTGAGGCCGCATACTATTTATTACATTTCGAAGTTTGCTTACGAACGTAGGTAAATGATCTACTTTGGTTTTCTCGGTTTCGCAATAAAAATCGCCTGGTAAACGTAATGTCTGTCCTAATACCAATTCCGCTGAGCTTACGTTTTCGTCATTTTTACAAGCCGCACGAAGTCCCAATAATACTGTAGGTAATTCGTCGACCCATGATCTGTTATCCCGTAATCTAGCCTTAATTGCCACTTTAAGGGAACGGTGCATTCTCTCGCAGATTCCATTTGCCTGTGGGTGGTATGCCGTTGTACGGGTCTTTTTTATACCTAAAATGTTTAGTAAGCTTTTAAAAACTTCACTCTCAAACTGTCTTCCCTGGTCACTCGTTATTGTCAGGGGGCATTCGAACCTGCATACCCAACCTTCGTATATGGCTTTGGCTACTGTGTCTGCGGTAATGTCCCTAACTGGAATCGCTTCAGGCCATCGCGTAAACCTATCAATCATAGTGACGCAATATCGGTAGCCTTCCTGTGACGTGCTTAACGGGCCTACTATATCTACGTGCATGTGTTCGAATCTATCTGTCAATGGAAAACTACTTAACTTAGAAACTGTATGTCGCTGTACTTTTACTTTTTGACAGTGAATGCAAGACCTAGCCCATCTGGTTACATCTTTGTTAATTTCCGGCCAAAAATAACGTTTCGTTATCATCTTTCGTGTGGCCCTAATTCCGGGGTGACTGATGTTGTGTATTGTTTCGAATGCTATTCTACGAAAATTGTGTGGGAGATATGGTCTTACCTGTTTATCTGAAATGTTACAATAAATTGTTTTATTACACAATGGTGAATGAATTTGCTTTAGTACCTTGTTACCTTGTGGTTCTGCTAACATACGCGCCATTTGATCGTCTGTTTCCTGTGCCCGTGCGACTTCGTCGAAGTCGATAGCCGTTGGGCAAACAACGGACTCTACCCGTGATAGCGCGTCAGCAACCGGGTTCTCGTTTCCGTTGATGTATTGTATATCGCTCGTGAATTCGCTGATATACAATAACTGCCTTGTGCGCCGTGGGGTCTCTCGATCGGTACCTATTTTAGAAAAAGCGTATGTTAGTGGTTTGTGGTCAGTAAAAATAGTAATCTCTTGACCTTCGATCATGTTTCTAAAATGCACAATAGCCAAATATATCGCTAATAGTTCTCGGTCGTAAGTGCTATATTTTTGCTGGGCTTCCGATAGTCTCTTAGAAAAATAACCTAAGGGCTTTGTTTTGCCGGTGGCTCCTTGCTGTAGCACTGCCCCCACGCATGTATTTGATGCGTCACACATTAGAGACAGTCTACCTTTGTCTTCTGGATATGACAGTGTAATGGCGCTTTGTAGGCTTGCCTTACACTGCTCGAAAGCCGCCGTGGCCCTATCGTCCCATGTTATTTTTGACTTATCCTTTTTCTTGGCCCCATGCAAAAACTTATTTAGCTCGGCCTGGTGCTCCGCCGCTTGCTTGATATGTAATCTATAAAAATTAACCATTCCCAGAAATCGTCGCAACTGTTCCACGGTTTCTGGTCGGGGGTAATTCTGTATGGCTTCAACCTTCTCTTTCAAAGGTTTAAGTCCTTCCCGGCTAACGCTATACCCTAAAAATTCTATCTCAGGCTTACCAAAACAGCATTTTGACAGATTGATGGTTATTCCAAACTGTCCGAATCTGCTAAAAATGAGTTTTAAATGTTTACGGAGTAATTTAGCGTCGGTACTTGCAATTATTACGTCATCAATGTAACAAAATAGGTACGAGCAGTCCCCTTTTCGTTCTCCGTTTAAATACTCTATACCTTGTAAGACTGTATTGTTCATAAACCTTTGAAATGTTTGCGCTGCGTTACGTAAACCGAATGACATTCTAGGAAATTCGAACAGTCCAAATGGGGTAACGATAGCTGTTTTCTCTACGTCCTGTGGTGCTACACAAATGTTATGATAGGCTCTATTAATGTCTAAGCGTGCAAAAATTTTCTTACCTGCTAGTCCATAGGTGAAGTCCTGTAGTCTTGGGATCGGGTACCTGTCCGGCTTCGTGATCGCGTTGAGTGCACGATAGTCGCCACAGGGTCTGATCTGGCCATCCTTCTTAGGCACGACGTGCAGCGCACTCGCCCACGGGCTCTTCGATGGTCTACATATACCTAAATCCTGCATTACCCTGAATTCCTCCTGTACCATTTTATACCTATGGGGTGGCAACGGCCTAGCACGGGTAAAAACGGGGGGACCTGTAGTCTCGATATGATGGTAAGTATTATGACTAGAAGGTTCTTTGTACGAAACGGGTTTGGTTATTTCTGAAAATTCTTCGAGCAAATCTTTATACGGGTTGTCCCGCTGAATGCTGGATATGGACATTTCGGAACATTTTACTACAGCTGCTTCTCTACTCAAGTTTGTGAGACCGTCAATCAACCTTTTGTTGTGTAAATCTACAACTAATTGGTGTGCCTTTAAAAAATCTGCCCCTATGATTGGTTGCTTTACATCGGAAACTATAAATGACCACTTATAACTTCTACGTAATCCTAAATTTAATTCTAGAGTCACTACACCGTAGGTTCTGATTTCTGTATTATTTGCTGCGAAAAGCTTATACGTGCACTCTTGTTTTTGTTTTGATCTCACTTTACTCACAGGTATCACTGACACGTTAGCACCCGTGTCGACAAGGTACACAATTCCCGTTTTGTAGTCTTTTACACAAAGTCGGTGGTTCCCCGCGGCACAATCTTCCACCGATGCTGACTGCACCGCGTCTAGTTTTCCTGCTTCCGCTGCTTCTTGGCCCAGCTGCACGGTGCTTCACACGTCCGCGCATTGCTCCTGTAGCGGTAATGGTGTCTGCATAGCCAGTCGGGAGAATCTGGTGTTCGCCGCGTCCGGCTTTTGGATCTGGGACGTTGTTGCCATCGCCCACCTCCGTCTGTGTCTCTTGCGCTGCCTCTGTTTCTGTTCCTGATCTCATTTATTTCTCCACGCAATTCCTTCATTTCCATTGCTAATTCTTTTAAGTGATTAGCTACGCTGTCGTTTTCGCTGGGTCCTGCTGTCGACGTACTCGGCGTTATAGATGCAACCTCGCCGCTTCCAAGGGTTTCTAATATTTTATCCGCCTTCTTGGCCATCTCCTCCAACTTGGTATCCTCACTCATTGCCAGTAGTGCGCGCACATTAGGTGTGAGCTTGTCTAACCATAGCCTCTTGAGTGGTTCTTCTGTCAGATTGCATTTTTTTGCTAGCGTTGTCATCTTCCTGAGTAACTGCGACGGTTTTTGTGTGCCCAGGTCCATTTCGTGCATCAATTTCTGAAATTGTTTGTCTGCACTCTCTTCATAAACCAACAGTAAGCGCTCTTTTATGATCTCGTACTTGCGTGATTCCGGTGGTGCTTCGATAATATCGGTTACCTGCTGCAAAACGTCTGTGGGTAATTTTGCCAACACCATGTCGTACTTCTGCGTGTCGCCTTGTTTCTGTGGTGCCATAATCGCCTCGAATTGACAGAACCACGACCTCGGTAGTTCTCTCCAAAATTCTGGAACTCTCATTTGCACCGTAACCATCGCTATGTCCGCTGCCGTTGCTGGAGTAGCGCCTGGAGTACCTGGTACCAGTTGCGGGTTCATTTTGATGAGCGGATATGTGCGCGTTGCTTTATAACCTCACTTCTGCACTTTGCACCACGCGGTTCATATGCCTCTGCCTCGAGCACTTAGTGAGTCGCCTACTCTTTTGTCACGCGAAATTACGTAATTTGCAAACGTCGATGGGTCACCAGTGTTGTGCGTGTCCTTGTGTACTATTTGGTGAATAAGGAAAATGTATTTTGATGAAATAAATGTCTTTAATTTCAGTTCCACAATACTTCGTTATTACTAACTACGTACTATGTAGATGTCGAGGCAGGGCGGTGTGACGTACGCGACTGGCGAGCCGAGCGCCCGCGCTCCCAGGTTTCGACAATAATGCAACTCAGCAATTTGCGGTTACTAAGCCGCCACAGTTTATACGCTGCTTTAAATGGACCATAGACAGAAACATCAAGAGGTTGCATTCTATGCGAGCCATGAGGTGACAATGATTATAACATCACTATGTTGTTGCTTTTGCAAAACTCATAAGCTCTTAAAGAGATGTGGCTAGAATGATTGTCGAGGACTAGCAAAATGGGCTCGTTTTCTGAAGGTTTAGTGAAATCTGCTAAGTGCTTCAGCCAGTCAACGAAGAGATCTTCGTTGACCCATCCATTTTTCGAGCACCGATATAATGTCTCACGAGGGCCGTCTGCTTCTAAAGCACATGAATGTCGCTGTCGTGGATAAATTAGCATTGGTGGGGGGTAGACTCCGGTAGCATTCATAGCGCACACAGCAGTCACGGTCTTGCCTCTTTCACCGCTAGTAATGGACTCCACACGTCGCTGCCCTTTTTCAGCCACAATTTTACCAGGGTCTTGTACTGCCGAAATGCCGGTCTCGTCTACGTTCCATATATTTCTAAGCTGATACTTATATGGTTCCATGAGCTCTGAAAGAAGTTTAAAGAACACACCTACTTCTAGCTTGTTAACCCTTAATTTGGCATAGAAAAAAATGTGATAAAAACTGTTTTTTTTTATTAAAAAATTAATAAACACATCTAAAACTGTTACAAAAAAATTTCAGAAAAAATCTGAAAAGCTTGCTTTTCCTGAAAACTCATGTATGCCACAACATCACTGCCAACTTCTCAAGACTACATACTGTAAATGTGTGGTATGTAGGGACATACATTACCAATTACTAGGCTTCTTAAGTATTTAAAACAAAAACACCATTATTATATAAATAAATGTTTATTAGTGCAAAAAGGAATGTAAATTACCAAAAATTACGTTGGTACGTGGTATTGCAGTTGACAATTACGAGAATTTTTACCAGTAACAAAACAGAGTCGGACTTGGCACTTCAGGCATTGTACAACAGTTAGTTTGGAGCACAGTCGACATCGTCCTTGGGTGGTCATGGTCATAAAATGACTAACGTTATCATACCGTGATGTTTCCGCAGGACTAGCTTGTGGCACTCGTTTTTTCGTGCCTTTGATACCATTTTCGGAACGTTGGTATTTTGTTAGATCCTCGTACAACTCGAATCTAAAGTCCTTCAGAGGCATAGATTTTGACTTTGAATCTTTTCTGTGGAGAAGCCATGCGTTATTTATGCATATATCCAGGAGTTGGGCAAATATGCTAATATACCATCTCCTTGTCTTGAACGGTGTTCTATATAAAGATATAAGCATATCGGCCAAGTCAACCCCTCCCATGTGCTCGTTGTACTCCTTCACTATTTGCGGACATTGAACGTCAACTTTAGTTTTAGAGTCCTTGCAGTACCTTTTTATTGTACCTACTACTTCAACGCCTACATAGGAACTTATCAATGCCACTGCTTTGTTATCATGCCAACGTACTACGGCCAGGCGGTTTTTGTTGCAAGTGGCTTGAGCATGACTACCCCGGGGTTTCTTCTTCATTTCTTTTTCTGAAGGCAGACTTGCTTCTGCACCTCGCAACCTGTTGTTTCTGATGGTTCCCAGTCCAAAGATCCCATACTCTTCTCTAAGTATGTAAAATAACTCTGGGCAGCTAAAAAAGTTGTCACAGAATACAAAAGCTGGTTTAGATTTTATAGTTTTGCACAAAGCGATCACCACTTGCGCTCCAAATCCGATAGAGGCTTCTTGTTCGCTAAAAGTATGGAATCTAAATGTATCCTCTCCTCCATACAAGATGAAATCATAGATCATGCCAGACACTCCAGCGCGTACATAGTTTTTAAATCCCCACTTATTTGGTTTGTCTTTCATGTATTGACGACGCTTGCCCGCTTTTGTCCCTTTATATGGGATCATCATCTCATCAATACTAAACCTCCTCTCATTTTCTTGAGCTAAACAATTTTCTCTTATTTTTTGCACCAACGGCCTAATTTTATAATATCTATCAGAATCTTCGATATTGTTGTCAACGAAATGTAAATAGCGACGTATCTGTTGATAGCGTTTTAGTGGCATCAGATCAGCCACTAGTTTGTACCTGTATCGCAAACTCCAATAATCAGTGTAAGATGGCATGCTCACCACACCCATTATGATATGTATAGCTATAAAGTCTCGTAATTCGTCTTCAGTCAAACCTAGTGTACGTCCAGTTTTAGATACTGCATAAGCATTTGATTGTTCCAGAATGTGTGTCAAAATATCAGGAGAAAAAAACTTATAGAAATATTCCAGGGGGGTTTGGATAGTGGCGTCGCCTATAGAATCCGATTCCTCTTCCATAGTAGCCAAATGACGAAACACAGCTTTTTTCCAACGATAGCTCAGAGTGAACTTTTGAATTCGTCTAGGTCGTTGAGCAACACTAATAGTAAAACGTTGTGATCTTGTTCTTCTGGAAAAAAGTGATGTGGAGGTGGCATTCGCTGGCATGCGTGGTGTTTCCAAACCAAAAGATGCAGAGCGTGCAAGAAGTGAAGCTGTTGCAGAATTTGTGGGAGTAGCAGGAGTTACAGGTGACGCAGGTGTTGCGGGAAATGATGGGATGTCACTCAATATTGGTACTTTATTACAATTCGGTTCTAGAGATGGGCTCGAATAAACAGTTTGGAAAATGGGTGTAAGGCGAACATTGTCGTTAGTGGGTTCTTGTTCATCATTAAAAAGGTTTAGTCTTTCTAAGGAGCTTTCAATTGAGGGTGCAGAAGAACTGGACATAGAAAGCGGAGCGTGCTCAGGTATCTCATTTTCAATATCGGAAGGTTCACTATCGTCAGAAGGTGCATTATGAGCAGGGACAAGCGCTAAAATTCTACCACCCCGAGTTTCAAGCTTTTGCTGCAGACAAAGAAAAAGAAATGCTAAAACATAAAGTAAGCAAAGCATATCCCCAGAACTGGCAATGTATGCTATGACATACAAATTGTTTTAGAGGTCTTTTACTGCAAACTTGGCAATGTATGTCACAGCATACTTCATGTTAGTACCCAAAATAAAACCATTTCAAGACGTAAAAACTTCAAACTTATTATTGAAATTAAAGAAATCTGTAGAAACTGCAAAGAAAATGCAATATATTAATAGAATAAATAAATCATCAAATAAAATCAAAACTATGTGGAGTGTAATAAATGAAAAAACAAACAAAAAATTTAATATAATATTTTTTTCTTAATATTTTTTTTACAGCGTATTTATTTGACATCGTTCTAATTTGAAGCGAAGTGCACCCGTAAAATATTTTACCAAGAAACTTAACTTGGGAAGCCATTTATTCTTCTTGTTCACTTGTGAAAACTGTGTTTCTTCCCAGTTGTGGCCTATCACGATTATTCTTTTTAATTCTTTCTTGAAGCGTTGAAAACGGCACGCCACATGAGCGAGCTGCTTCTCTAATAGTTTTTCCTTCATCCACTAGTCTGAAACCCCTGTGTGCTCTTGGCTCCACGACGCCTTTGAATTGGGTTGGCTTCTTCTTTTAGACATCCTAAAATAATAAAAAAACCATTAATATTAACATAAATTATAATCACGTATACCAATTTTACTTGCGGTTAATACCGGTCAGTATGACCGGCATCGCTCGACTCGAAAACATTTTCGTAAAAAAAACTTATAGATTGGAAACCTGACCAAATAAGTTAAAAAAAACTATATTATAAAAGCGAAGTTAAATGAAAATATGTACTTAATAAGCCTTTTTTTAATTTAATTGAATTAATAATACATGTAATTTATTGATATATCAAATAAAATAGCCGTAGCTTCTAGTATTAATACAAAATACCTTTTTTTATTCAATTTTGTGACTATATCGCTTTTTACTTGGTTATTTTTAAATTTTACTCCAAAAACATAATACTTAATTTCATATTTAGCACCTTTTTAGAAAAGTAATAGATTTAAAGTAATAATATTTGTAACTGCATTAATTTAAAAGGTCATCTGATTTCATAGATTCATTATTTATTTATTTCATAGATTCATTATTAGATTAGATCAATTTGAAGGGACAGTCACAAAATGGAAGTCTTAAAATCATAAGGCTGTGTACCCGTCGCGGAGAACCTAACGGGTAACCAGGGCTCCGGCTCGGCTTAGTAGCGGTTTCGCCCTAATTTTGTTCGCCCGAATCGGGCGATTGAACTACTTTCAATTTTGAATATTTTTTAGGGCCGGTTTCGCCCGAGACAAATTTAATAGCGGGCGAATCAGGTCAAGTAAAATTTAGTAGTATACTATTCGCCCAAATACTATTATACCTCAAAAAAATAAGCCTTTATTTTATAATAAAATGTAAAATTTTATAAAAAAAGTACAGTAGCGCACACAATTGTTACTTACAATCATTTTTCTTTCTGTTGGTGAATCTGGTTATTCCTGTATGTCTAATATTATGAAGGGTGTAAGGGACGGTGTACCGAAGCCGCTTACCATGAATTCAGTACATGATTCTGAACCTGCGTTGGAATTTTGCGTCGGCTTTTTCTTAATTTTTCCGTTTTTTTCTGCAGTTTTTTTTTTACTGTAATCTGCATTGCACGTTTTAGTAAAAAAAATAATTTCAATGCTTTTTTATTAAAAAACGCATTGGGTTAGATTGAAATCATGATTTTATACAGATTACAGTAAAAAAAAACTGTAAAAAAAAGTAAAAATAGTATTATCTAATGCATATTATCTAGTAGGTTACTTACTATTTTTGAGTAACACATGTGCCTAAGTAAATCCTCTTTAAAAATATTTATACATGGTGCGCTCGACTGTACTACTTATTTTTTTTAAGGTATAATAGTATTTGGGCGAATAGTCCATTACTAAATTTTACTTGACCTGATTCGCCCGCTATTAAATTTGTCTCGGGCGAAACCGGCCCTAAAAAATATTCAAAATTGAAAGTAGTTCATTCGCCCGATTCGGGCGAACAAAATTAGGGCGAAACCGCTACTAAGCCAATATTTTTTATAATGTATAAATATTTTTAAAGAGGATTTACTTAGGCACATGTGTTACTCAAAAATAGTAAGTAACCTACTAGATAATATGCATTAGATAATACTATTTTTACTTTTTTTTACAGTTTTTTTTTACTGTAATCTGTATAAAATCATGATTTCAATCTAACCCAATGCGTTTTTTAATAAAAAAGCATTGAAATTATTTTTTTTACTAAAACGTGCAATGCAGATTACAGTAAAAAAAAACTGCAGAAAAAAACGGAAAAATTAAGAAAAAGCCGACGCAAAATTCCAACGCAGGGGGTTCAGAATCATGTACTGAATTCATGGTAAGCGGCTTCGGTACACCGTCCCTTACACCCTTCATAATATTAGACATACAGGAATAACCAGATTCACCAACAGAAAGAAAAATGATTGTAAGTAACAATTGTGTGCACAACTGTACTTTTTTATAAAATTTTACATTTTATTATAAAATAAAGGCTTATTTTTTTGAGGTATAATAGTATTTGGGCGAATAGTCCATTACTAAATTTTACTTGACCTGATTCGCCCGCTATTAAATTTGTCTCGGGCGAAACCGGCCCTAAAAAATATTCAAAATTGAAAGTAGTTCATTCGCCCGATTCGGGCGAACAAAATTAGGGCGAAACCGCTACTAAGCCA